TTTATAGATTTGTAAGAGTTGCTTGGAAATGCATTTAATATTTCTTCTTTACTACGGAACTGTGCTAACGGTAGTTTCAATTATAATCGTAACTAGTTAAGACAAATAAGACCTTAGTATTAATTCAATTTCAGGTTTTATAACTCATAGACAAAGCTAATTTATGCAATAAAACAATGGATTTACTTAAATTATATTTGGACATTGGCATATTTATATTTTGTTGCTACAGAAGTTGGAATAGGAACTCAATATAACATCGCGAAATGGCAGCTAATTAAAAGAAAAATATATTAAATATTCCGTATTTTACGATAGTTCTTAAAAAATAAATTATTTGAAGTGATTTTGGATCTTTCGTAATAAATTATTTTGAACTATGTAGTATCTAATATTTGACGACATTTTTAATGTTTAGAAATTATTATAAACCTGCTTTCGCCCGCGACTCCGTCCGCGTGGAATTAAAAAAAAACATCCGCGAGTAAATGTCTTCTTCCAGACTATCCTCTACATCTATGCCAAATTTCATGAAGACCCGTTAAGCCGTTTAGGCCACAAACTCTAACAAACATCCATCCATCTAGACTTTCGCATTTATAATATAAGTATGATTTAATTGTGTACTACTTAATGACGTCAAATATAGTGTATTATAAACTATGTAATTTATTCCTGGAGTATGCGTAATGCAGTACATATTGTGAGTTTATATTCTAGACACGTCCATATTGCGACTGGCTGTCGCTCAGAACTAGATCATAAACCTTGCCTATAACTACGGTTGCCAAATCAAAGTATGCAGAATAGACTGTACTATATTAACATTACACTCACTTATTTAAAGTATACCAATATTATAAAAAGGGCAGATTTGGATTTTTGTACGTATTGAAATAACTTAAAAATTATTAGACCGATTTCAAAAATTCGCTCAACGTTACAAAGTTAATTTAGCTGTGAGAAACATAGGCTATATTATATTGTGTAATTCCAAGCGGACGAAGTCGCGAGCAACAGCTATAATTAATAATTAGAAAATTGAAAAAACAGACAGATTTTAATCTCCCAGGAGAGAAAAAATTATTGAATAACAAGAAGACACTGCATTGACGAAACCGTTTTACTTAGAGATCTAAAAAGAATTAACTGAATTGAAAATAACAAATATGTTGTATTTACAACCACATCATATTTAAACTCTGTCATTTTTAACAAGCTCAATCTTTAAAATCTTCAAAATAATTATAACATCCTTGGTCAAGGGTTACACCTTAGTTTTAATGCTTAGAGATAAAAAAATCTATTTTATTATAAACTTTACTAATATTAAATTCTTTTGTTACAGATATTCTTCAGCTTCAGAGAAGATCAAGATTCAGAAGAAGAATTAATATAACTTTTATATATAAAAAAAAATGTAAACAATTGTTGTACATGATTGTGTATATGAAAATAAGTTTATATTTAGAAAAAATGTCATGTACTTTAAGGAAATGTTACAGTATGACTAGCTTTCATTTGCGACGTCCGCTCGAAATTAAAAATAACTCAATTAGTAGCCCAGACTATGTTCTAAATATAAGCCAAATTTCAACGAAATCCGAACAACCGTTTAGACTACAAACACTAACAAACAAACTTTCCTTTACAAGATATGCAAAGGAAAGATTTGTATTTTTGGATGTATTCGATTCACGTAAAAACCACAGGACCGATTTAAAAAATGTGTATGTCGGTTACATAGGCTATGTTTTTATTTATTTTTTTTAATTTCACGCGAACGAAATCGCGTGTCATAGCTATTGTTAATAAATAATTAATGTTAGAGTCTACATTTTGCTGTACCGTAGTAATACCACGATCATAGAAGAGAAGCGGGATTATAGCGTTTCTTTTAATGTATATCAGAGGTCAATACAAGTCCCTACCCTGGGAAAGTATGAGAAGGAGAATTGCATTATAGGAAGGGAACTATCTTTTGAAAAATAATAATTTACTAGTAAATGACCAATATTTATGTTTACAGAGAAATGATGAAATATTCAATAATATGTATTATTTTCTGCATTTCATATTGTACTATAAAATATAGAATGCAGGAAAATATTTTTCTACGAAGAAGAGCACAGAAGTACACAGAAGTAAGAACAAATGAAGGAAGGCAGTTAAACAGTATACTTGACGCGCCCTTGTCATTCTTCTTGCCCCGTGTGTTATACTACTGGACGGAGAACTGATAAGGGCATGTCATGTATAGTAGCGTCGGTTGAAGAAGATAGAAGAAACTAAAAGAAGATGATGTTCTTTTGTGTATATGTTCCTTATTAGATACTAACTGTTCCTGGCGGCTTCATCCGCATGAAATTATGAAGTTTTAATTTTATTGTTTACATTTGTCAAATTATCAATTGCAAATGTCAAAATGACATGACATGACAAACCTTGGCAATCTTGGTTTCTTGATGTTGGCAGCAACTTATGGTCTCTTTCCCAAATTAGGGTTTTTATCCAAAAAATTTGCCTCCTAAGTTTATTGGCGTGATAATATATAGCCTAAAGCGTGACGTAAGTGTAGGGCTTTTTATTAAAAAAAAGAATTATTCAAAAATATGCTTTAATTGCTGACATGTTAGGCAACAAAGAAGTGTGTGTTTACGCTTTATTATAATAGTATAGATAAGTTTAACAAGGCCGGTAACGCATCTGCATGTCCCCTAGATTATCCCCACAATTCGTTTGCCCCTTCTCTTATTAAAAAGTGTTAGAAAAGAAGATAATGGAAACAATTTACGATCGTTTTAAAAATATGTTTCAAGACTTTGTATTGACATGTTTCAAAATGAAATTTGTGTAAATGTTCTTTGTAAATGGTTTTTTTTTGTTCAATAAAATCTATAACCTACAAATGTGTTTTTCTTCCTTACGCAAAGTAGTTAAGATATATGGTAGAAGTTCACATACTAGCTAGATTATTAAAACTAAAATAAGAATAAAATCTTCTCTTAGAAGTGTCACTTAGATTGCAATAGGGTGTTCACGTAATGATCATTTGCACTAATACAAAACAAATTAAAGAGTTTCCAATTTATGTAACATATAATAGAAAATAAAAATTACCTATAAGTGGAAGGTTCTTTGACCAACAAATTCAATATATACCGAGTATTCAAAAGACATTTATAGAAATAAACAATACAAAACTACTGGACCTGAAAAGTACAATAGTAGATAAATTCTCGTCTACAACTGTTGAGATTAAATCCTGATTAGACAACGTAATAATTGGCATTAAGAGCCGTGCACCTTTGACTAAACTATCGCACAACGATTGTCGATTGTTTCGCAGCCAATTCAACTGTTTAGTTGCACAACCAGAGTTGTGTACACCCCTCCATATAAGCTCATAGGAATCAAAGCGCGACTAAACAGTTGTGCGAGAATTTAGTCGAAGATGCGAGCGCTCTTTACTCGTATGCGTTTAAAAAATAAAAGTCAATCTATATAGTAATTAAAAGCCGAATACTGAAACGAATTTTAAATACAATCTGGAAGAAGTAAATTTTATTGGCATTTGAAGTTTATGTCGTTTCAGTGTTCGGGCTTAAATGCTTTAGAGTGATTTTAATCAAATAAATTGATTTGATGCCGAAATGGTTACTTGAATACAAAATGAATTAAAAACGAACGACACGAACTAGGGCAATACAAACACTAAAAATGAAATAAACACTTGAAAAAAAATAAAATTTGAAACTCAACCATTAGTCAATTGAACTTTTAGTAAATTCAAATTGATTCTATGAAATACAGTCTACATCCAGCTCACTATAATTCTCCACTGGGCTCGGATCCTACCCTAAATTGAAGGTAACTAGGTCATAGTCAACCATGCTGGCACTACAGGAATTTTTTCACCGATATGTGCAGGCCTCACGTTGCTCTGTTTTAACAACTACATGCAAAACAGCAGATATCTGAAAGCGGACTACAATTAGGACATCCATACACGGACTTAAACCATTCGGCATCGCATGAGTCACTAGCTAAGACGCATTACCGTCTTGCTGACTGCCTACCAAGCATACTAGAAACAAGTCAGTTTGAAGTAGAAAATATGCCGGCGTCAGTTTTCCGTCCAAATATGACGTGGTGGTCTTCAAAAGAAGGTAAACAGCTACCTATTAAGCTAGCGCGTACCATCTTTCGACTCCATCATCACTTTCTTTTACAAACGTAAAAAACCGAGTACAACGTCTATATAAAAATAACTTGATATACGTAGTTGACCTTTGACATTTACTATAAATGTTGACTGAATTCCTCAACTCGTGATACTTCCCAAGCTTTTATTTTAATGACTGTATGAATACGCTTTTACATAACTCATCGGGGCAGAGAGGGATAGCTGCTAATATCTCCATCTCATCTTAAGTACTTCTATATACATAAAATAAAATAAAATAAAATAAAATGACATTTAATCTTATCACCACTGCAACACAATTTGGAATAAGAGAAAAAAAACACACACACACAATACAGTAATTAAAAAATAATAATAATAATAAACACGTAATTAACAGGACAAACAAAATAATTGAAATGTGTATGCAGTAAATAGACGATACACAGAGTTAAAGTAGCTTTTTAATGGTGAAAGAATTTTTGTAATCGGCTCAGTAGTTTTTGTTTAATTTCGTACTGAAATCCAAGAATACATTCTTTCCTCTTTATAATGTTAGTATCGTTTAGCTTGGTATGGACAAAAATCACTCATAAATAATTTTCATAGACTTTATATTGAAACCTTCATAACAGGAGAAGTAAGTATTTCTGAATACCTAATCAAATATTTTGAAACTGCTTAACTAAAGAGTTAAACGATCACAAAGAGCATTGTATGTATAAAATCTACACTAAGGGTCTCGAAGTTTTCGCAACACCTAGTGACTGTTATAAGAGCATAATAAAACTATGAAGATAGAAACTGTTCTACAAAAATATGCTAGAACTAAATCATACTAATATAATTGCGAATGTTTAGATGGATGGATGTTAGCGTTTGTAGCCTAAATGGCTGAACTGATTTTGATGAAATTCGGTATACTTTAGAGCATAGGTTGGAACACATAGGCTACTCTCTTTTGTTTTCTTTTTAACTAGCTGTTCCCGTGCAACTTTATCCGCATAAAATTGTGAATATTTTATTTTATTGTTCACATTTGTCAAAATGACATGACATGACAAACATTGGCAACCTAGCTTCCTTGATGTTGGTAGCAACTTATGGTCTCTTACCCATATTAGGGTTTTTATCCAAAATATTTACCCCCTAAGTGTGAAATGAAAATATATATCCTAAAGAGTGACGTAAGAGTAGGGATTTTATTAAAAAAAAGAGTTATTCAAAAATATGCTGTAATTGCGTACATCTTTGGCAACGAAGAAGTGTGTGTTTACGCTTTATTATAATAGTAAGTATAGATATCACGCGGACGGAGTCGCGGGCGTAAGCTACTTTTATATAAAAAGAGCTGTCACCCGCAAGTCCGTCCGCACAGAACCAATGTAAACTTAATTAGTTGCCTATGTATTATTTAATATGATCGACAAAGCGTTTTCAGCCGTTACGGAGGTGCTAGTTATTGAGTACCTTAGTGTAGATTACACTAAAGGCAATCACTTAACGTCTCAGAGTGCGGCATTTACAATGTAAAGTATTGTAAGTTTACGTTAAATTAAACTGAAAGGAATAGTTAAAATTTCTCTTCCTCCAAGTTTCACCATTTATAAATACTTTTTTTTTAAATCCACGGGCACGTAATCGCGGGCAACAGCTAGTAAAACATAAAACATCTTAGATACTAATAAAATGTGTAGAAACAATCAACCAATAGAGAAGACAACATAAATTACTCGTATTATTGGGTATTTAAAAATGACAAATGTCCAAAACATTTCTAAAAAGTAAAGTTATCGCTTATGGATGATGGAGAATGGATGGATGTTTGTTAGAGATGAAATTTGACATAGATGGTAGAGGATAGTCTGTAAGAACACATAGGCTTGCTTTTGTTTTTTTAATCACGCGCGGACGGAGTCGCGTGCGAAAGCCAGTCTATATATAAATCGATCAACAATCGTTATTTAAATTAGTAATTAATTAATAAACTAACGCAATAAAGACCACTAAGCTCAACTAAATGCCTACCAAACTGGCTTCAATTCTCGCATCCCCCCGCACGTGGGGCGGGGGACGCAATAGGGGTGTGCGGGGGTAGGTTGACAATGGGCCGCTGCTCCGGACGCCTCTAATTGGTACAGCCCTAGGCATTCGCGACTCACCGGATGTGCATTTTTCTAGATTCGTACAAACCACGGAGTCGTTAGGCTACAACTTTTAATGATCAATACTTTAAAATGTTACATCAAATAAGAGTAACTTAGTATAGAAATTTCTATGAATCGAAAACTTACTGAAAAGGATATTTTATAAAAGGTATTGTATTTTATTTGAATATCTATTGAATTTGAAAACCATTATTATCTGCATTGACTAATGTCTACAATATGATAAACTTACCTACTTAAAATTAAAAATATATTAAAAAAGCCATATTATGACATTCAATAAATAAGTCGACTAACAAAGAAATGTTCTCGAGTTTATTCTTTTGCGTTTCAAAGATTATTACTATGACAATTTTTTACTATTCTACAA